TGAGGAGGCAAGGGGCTTGTCAAGAATGACACTCAGATTTCTGGTTGGGCAAGTTAGAGAAGTTTCTAACTTCCAGCATCTCCAGGAAACATCAGTTAACTGCAAATGCAGAGACAACCCTCTGGCTCGCTTGTCCCTCATTCTGCCTTTCAACTGCTTGACCTAGCTTTGACTCTTAGTCCTAGGTCTGCCTTCACTTGCTGTGCCCTTGGCTCAGCACTTCCTCCCTAAAGAAAGCAGGAATCATTCTTGCTCCTCCACACCTCCTTTTTTTTTTTAAAAAAAAAAAGAGAGGGAATTTATTTAAAGCAGCAACTTTGGGAAGAGGAACAAACAAAAGGGTCTAGCTAGGACTGACATGAGGAAGAACTGGGGAAAGACGGCCCGAGGTCTGCTTCGTTAAGCGTCCTGGTCAAGGTATGATCTGCTGAATCATTTCCAAAGACTGTTTTGTTTTGATGTGAGATAGGCTTACTCTGGAACCCTGGCTGGCTTGATACTTGCTGTATAGTTTATTCAGGCTGACCTCACACTAAGGGTTGGGAGTCTGTGGGTGTATTTGCCTAGTGCACATTGGACACCAGAGGTTGACTTCATATATCTCCTTCTATGCTTTTTTTTCATTACTTGGGAGGGGCAATGCAGACACACCACTGTGTGCATGTGGAGGTCAAAGGTCAGCTTGCTGGAGTTCTCTCCTTTCTCCATGTGGGTCTCCCAGGGACTCCCAGATAGATTTGTTAGTGAGCACCCTCACCTGCTAAGCTCTCTTGTCAGCCTAGGCTCATTAAAAAAAAAAAAAAGATTTATTTTTATTTTAAATTATGCATATGCATGCATGTCTATGTGTGGGTATGCATAGCGTGCAGTTCCCTACCGAGGCCAAAAGAGGACATTAGAGTCTCCAGAACTGGAGTTCCAGGCATTTGTGAGCTTCCTGCCTTAGGTGTTAGGAACCAAACTCCGGTCTTCTGCAAGCGCAGACATGCTCTTAATCACAGATGCATTTCTCCACTGAGCTCATTGTTTTTTTTTTTTGTTTGTTTGTTTGTTTTTGATTCAAAAAATTGTTAGCAAACTGGGAATGTAGCTCACTTGGAAAGATATGTGCCTTGCATTCAAAGCCCTGGGTTCGATCCCCAGGACTGCGTAAATGGGATGCTGTGGTAAGTAGGTACCTGATGTCCCAGCACCCGAGGAAGTAGAGGCAGGAGGATCAGAAGATCAAGGTCATCTTTGGCTGCATAGTGAGTTAAAGGCCAGGCTGAGTTATGATAGACCCTGTCTCAAAAACTTTACAAGGGAAAGAAGCTATGATAATGCGTGATCAACTGTAGACACGTAGGAGGCCTCAGTGGCTCAGAGCTGGAGGTGGCTGTTTCCTGGGGGCCTTCGTAGCAGACTCCATTTGCCCTTACGGAAATCTCTCTGGTGAAGGATGCATACCAAGTAGGTTAAGATAGGGAGGGTGGAACTTCCCTTGTTTGAGGAAGGGGCTTGCATGAGTGTTGAGCGGACTCTGCCCTAAAGCTTCAAGTCATCCTGAGTCCCCTCCCCTTTGCACGGTCCAGTCCCTGAGCAGGTGCAGCTGGCTCTATCTCTGCAGTGGCATGAATGAGAAATGTCCCCCACAGGCTTTGGTGTTTGAATACTTGGTCCCCAGATGAAGTGTTCAAGGAGGTCTAGGGGGTGTCGCCCTCCTGGAGGAAGTAGCTACTATGGTGGGCTTTGAGGTTTCAAAATGTCACATCATACCCAGTGCCTTTTTGTTTTGTTTTTTTGTTTTTGTTTTCAAGACAGGGTTTCTCAGTAGTTATGGAGCCTGTCCTGGAACTAGCTCTGTAGACCAGGCTGGCCTCGAACTAATGGAGATCCACTTGTCCCTGCCTCCTGAGTGCTAGTATGCTCTTTTTGCTTCATGCTGACTACTAAGAGATGTGAGCTCAGCGTCCTGCTCCAAGCACAAGCCTCTGCTCTGGCATCATGGCTTCTCAGCCTTCTGGAACCATCCAAAGTTAACTCTCCCTTCAGTTGCCTTGGTCATGGTGCTTAATCATAGCTGCAGGAAAGGGCCACACAGCCTCTAAGGGCAGCCATGAGTCTGTATTTCCTGGGCCACAGCTCTAGCACAAACTGGGAGACTGCATAGAGGGGACACGCAGCCTCCGCTCTTGCCTGGTTCCACGCTATCCCCGTTGAGGTTGCGCAGCACACCCCTAGAAAATGTGAAGCTGGACTGTGACCTGCGTGCCTCTTGGCATTAGGACACGGCATTGCCACCTACAAAGTTCACACACCAGAAGTGCACCGTCTAATCACACAAACATTTTCTCATGTTTTAAAGAAGTTTATGCTTGTGTGTTGGGCCACATTCATGGGTATTCTTGGCTGCATGTAGCCCTTTGGGCCAAAGGTTGGGCACACTGAAGCCCCAAACCTTCTCTTTAAATTGACTTCTCGTGCACCTCACCTCTAATTATGAGACCTGTGTGATATGGCTGCTGCCTGCCTTACCTGCACCCACTCTTCCTGTTTACCAAACCCAGACACACCCTCCTGGGTCCTTGCTTGTCCTTCCTGTCCCTGGCTTCTTGGTGCAGCTTTCTGCCCAAAGGTCTCCTCTTCGGAGAGCCTTATCTAAGGACGTTAACCCCAACCACTATGTTTTGGTTTATTTCATAACACTGTCATTAAAACTAGATTCCTGATGGGGAGGTCTCGTGACTGCTTTTGCAGTTTTATTAACTTTGATTACTGGATGAGTGCTAAGTGCTTTCCTTAGGCCTCACAGATGAAAGGAAAGTACCTGCTCACCCCACCCCACGCCCTATTCTCGAGCACTCTGCCCTATTTACTACTGACCTGTAAATTCTTCAGAACCACAACCGGCACAATAAACAATCATTAAATAAAAAGTAAGCGGAATTCTGGCTTTGCTCTGTGTTAGTGTCCCTTGGAGGGAAACTGGAGAAAGGGAGGTTAGGGGCCATTAGTTTCTCTCTCTCTCTCTCTCTCTCTCTCTCTCTCTCTCTCTCGACAGGGTTTCTCTGTAGCTTTGGAGCCTGCCCTGGAACTAGCTCTTGTAGACCAGGTTGGCCTTGAACTCACAGAGATCTGACTGCCTCTGTCTCCGGAGTGCTGGGACTAAAGGCGTGCACCACCACCGCATGACTGTGACTTAGTTTCTCTAAGCACCAGTTCGATCATTCATTTCCGAAAAGGCAACAGAGGATCTAGCAGTTCACAGACGTGCCCAGTAGCACCGGGCTCACTATCCACCCACTCCTGGGGTTTATAGAAGGGATGCCTGCACTTGACATCTTGCAAGTTGACTCTGCCATCTACCAATCTGTTCAGTGTCCCTCAGTGGTTAGAGTCTTGTTTTCCAAAGCCCGTCCAGGAAGAGCTCCATGGAGGTGTGGGCTACCTGGAACCATCTGGTGCACCTATCTGGGCTGTTTGTTTTATTGGGAAAGTAGTCTAAAACATTGTTATAGTAACATAACCGCAGATACTTATGGAATGGGATGACAAATTTGCCTGAATGCTCTGAGAATTAGCACGAGGCTAGTATTGATAGCCTCGGATTTGGAGGAAGCCTGTGTGGAGAGTACAAGCCCCTTCAATGGTTATCCGTCTTACGGGCTCACAAAGGGAACTTCCTGCTATCAACAGAGGATTCTATTCTGCTCCTTTCAAGATTCCCCTACTCCTGTAGAAGGATCAGGTGGCTTCCAGTTCTGCTCTGCTTGGGGCAGGGGAAGAACCCAGGCGCGAAGAAAGGGCAGGTGAAAGTCCCAGACCTTAATCTATTTTCCCCCAGCTCTTACTGTCCAGACGTGGACCACCCTGCCTGTCCATTAGCCTCTACCCACCCCTCCCCAATGTGGACATAATTACAGTCATTATCCTAGGATATTATTACCAGCTCTATAAACAGCACACTCTATGTAAACAGCATAGGTAACTGCCTCAGAACATAATTACAGGAGATGTTTCCAGAGCCGCAATTGCATCAGAGTATCCTTAATACTCCGATATTAGGGACCTATCAGGGCCAATTAGTCAAACCCCAGCAGTGAGGGGGTGAGAAAGATCTCACATTCTTCCACTGCCTATAAAGCAAGAAGGGACCCTTCAAGATCCCTGCAAGAAGAAACTGGGTTAAAACCCAAAACCCTTCCCTACCCCGTCTTAGCCTTTGGGTTCCACCCTCCTACCCCTCACCTGCTTGCAGCTTCTGCCGTGGTATGGAATTTGAGGAAAGTCAAAGATTTCCAAGGATACCAAGAAAACTGTAGATAGTAGGCTCTGTTGGACATTATTGTATTCAGGAGCCCGCTCACAAGAACAAGTAAGTCCCTTCAACCCGTGGACAGGTCACCTGCTCGTCTTAGGACCCAGCCAGTACGCATGGAATGGGATCCGAGATGGCTAGTGTTCAGAGTCACCATTGCAGGCAACCAAGGTAGGCCTGGGTGCTAACAACGACGATGTTATCGGCCACCAACGGTGGTCATCTCTCTGTCCCTACCTTATCTCCAGTTCTCACCGCTTCCTCTTTCGGCCTGCCCCTCCCGTACCCTTTCCACTCTCATCAGCTCTTCCGAGTAGCAGTCCGCTGCCCGCCCCCACCCCTCCTTCCTGTCCCCGTTCTGCAGTTGGGTGGTATCTCTCCAGAAGGGCGGGGGCGGGGAGGGTGGAGCAAAGGGCGAAGGCCTGGCTAGGCTTCTGGAATCTCTCGCTGTCCTCACGCAGGGGCGCCGCTGTGGCTGGGCCTCAGAGTCTGCGGATTTTCCGCTTTTATCTACCCGCGGACACAAAGGCCAGCCCTGGCGTGCGCGGGAGACGCGCTCGCACCCACGGCTGTGCGCACACAAGCACAACTGCACAAAGACTTGCACACCTCTGCATACACACACAGAGACACACAGACACTTTCCCGACAGGCTCGCGCGCACAGCCGTGCACTCACTCACATTGGCACGCGCTTACGTGCACGCGCTCGCGTGGACCAGCCGCGGTCGGCAGCCCAGCCTTTACTCTCTGGGCACGCACACGCAGAGCCGCGCACCGAGCCACACACGCGCGCTCACACCCGCACACTCCACGCCCCTGGCGGCGGTCCGGGCGCTGTGCTGCTCCAGCGACGGGCGGGGACCCGGGCGGGGGCGGCGGCGGCGGCGACAGCGGAGGAGGCGGAGCGGGGTAGCCGGGAGCGGGCTGGCCCGCGCTCCTCCTGGCGGCCGGGGATTTTCCAGCCTGGGAGCAGACGCCGCGGACCTCCCTGCGGCCGCCGCGGACCATGGGCGACAAAGGGACACGGTGAGTGCGGGTGGCCGCCCTGCCCCACGCGCTCGTGGGGACGACCTGGGAGAGGGCACGGGCGGAGGTTCCAATCAGCGTCACCCTGGGTCTGGCACTCTGTGCTCTGCCCAAGTCTCTTGTGTGGTCGCTGGCAAGAACCATGTGTAAGGACCGAGGCAGCCAGGGTGGGCCACCCCATCTGGCTCACGTTTCCTGGCCGAGGCGAGCTCACACACTCTGCACTGGCAGGCAGTTTCGAGGACACTCCGGGGCAGGCTGACACCACACACACACACACACACACACACACACACACACGCTCGTGAACACAGGAGCACCCTTCTTCTGCTGGCACAGCTGACAGCCGCTGCCACACTCTTCGCATTTGTGACAAGACGACGTCACACACGTTCTCTCTTGCGCGCGCACACACTCGTCTGTCAACACATTCTTTCTGACGGTCCTGTTAGCATACACAGGTCCCACTAAAACACGCACCAGCTCTAACACACCCTTGTGTTGCCACACGCATGTGGGCATACACCAAGACACATACCCTGTGACTTGGATGCTGCGAAGCACACTCTGGCTGGTGCACGCAGTCTGTCCTATCTGACATGACATGATGCGGCCACATGTCTTAGTGACACACCAGTGCTAACCACACTGCGTGTCAGAAAATGCCTGCAGGGCCTGACATCCCCCCTGGCGTTCTGGATACACTCACTCCTGACTCACCACAGCAGGACTAGAAACACAGGTCGAAGAGTGGAGGACCCTGTCTGGGGCTTGGAAAGGCAGTTCCTAGTCCCATGGCTTCCTTCCCCTCTGACCTCCAAAGCAAATAGCTGGGAGCTACCTCTAGCTGAGAGAGGTGAGGAGAACCGTTTGGTGGAGCCTCCTTTGAGAGGAGAGGTTAGGCCCTTGAAATGGAAGCTAGGACAAAGTAAGCTCTGGGGTCAGCCTTATGATCTAAACCAGCCCTGGTCAACCTATCATTTCACCTTCCCGGCCCCTGGAAGTCTCACTGCAGCCTTCCTTGGCGGCTCCTCCTCCTTCCTTCCTGCACCTGCTGCTTTTCATTCCTTTCCTTATCACTCTTATCTTTGTGTCCTCTCTGCCTTTACCTCCTTTCTTCCAACATTTATTTATTAAGCTCCTGTTGTATACTAGAAATAGTAGAGGGGATCAGAGATGACCAGAGAGGAGGCATCCCTGTGGCCGCATGTTGGGACCCTCAAACAAATTGATTTTTGCCTACTGCTGGCTGAGACTCTTAGCAGCTTGTGAAAGGGGCTCCAGAGGTTATTCCCATTTCCCAGGAGTAGGGACTGAGGCACTAAAGTTACTCAGACACCTTGTGTTTGGAAACTGCTCCCCACCAGCCTTCCTACTGAGGCTCTTCTAGGAGAACCTTTTCTGGCTTCTCCAAAGAGGGATCAAAGGATGAGAGAGATCACTTGCCATGGTTTTAAGGTCAGGAGGTGGCAGAGGCCAGAACCCACTGTGTCTGTGGCTCTCCTTTGGGGCCACTAGGCACTGTGTGGACCCCAGGTGTGAGGACTAGCGGGGTACCTGCTCTGTGCAGAGCCATGGGAGACTGCACAGGGTCATGAAGTGTTTGCATTCACCTTGAGTCTCAGTCCCAAGCAGCTGGCTGGCCAGCACTGTGACCCCGGCCTCTGCCCTTGGAGGAAGGATGTGAGACCCCCTCTCTAGTCACATCCATTGCCCCATGGAGACCCTGCTGACCTGTGAGGTCAGACTTTGGTCCAGAAGGACATAGCAGGGAGTCAGCAGCCATCCCTTCTCCTTTGTTCTTCTGTGCTGCTGGTGACCGGGGTGACTCAGCCCTGCTGGGCCTCTCTGTAACTAGGGGAGAAGTGTCATATGCCTCTTTGATAGTGTGAATTGTCACAGGATGAGGACTTTATGGGCTGCTGGACACCTGTTGGAGAACCTGTCCTTGACTCCTCCCGCTGTGCTTCTCGCTCAAAGGCAGACCTGGAATTCCCATCTGTAAATTGGAGCAATCTGCTCTTTGGTTTTCATGGTTCCCATGAGCCTACTGAGTTCACTGGACATAGGAACACTTGCTGACTAGGCCTGGAAACATGGTCTGGCTAGACAAACTCTACGTCTCCCTGCCTGCCCCTCCTGGGTCCCCACCCCCCACTCTGAGATCCTCTAGAACTCCAAATTCTGTCACTCCCTTTCTAGACCTATCTGGATAAGAAAGGCAACAAAGATACTTTGACTATTGTGTTCCGTGAGCCATGAGATTTTACTTTGTGAATTGGAAAGGACATTGCAAAAAATATCCAACACCCAGACTCTGAGGTCTTCGCATCTATCCATCTGTCTCGGATTTCACCCTACAGAGGAAGTGATAATGAACATTAATCAAAACTGTCACTGCCCTCTGGGAACTCCCTGGGTTGAGAGAGAGAGACAGAGACAGAGAGAGACACACACACAGAGAGACAGACAGAAACAGAGGGGGAGAAATTACAGGGCAGGAACAAGCTAGCACCAAGATGCAGCCCTAACAGGGGTCCCAGGCAGGAGCACAGGTTAATTCAAGTGGCTTCTTCCTACCCTGGACTGGAGTCTCTAAAGAGGAATCCCCAGAAGATTTCCAGGCTGTTGTGATGCAGGACACTGCACTGTGAAAGCGGAAGAGGAGGCCCCACCAAAACTCTGGGTTTGATGTGGCCTGAAGCTGTCCAGGATAGTCAGAGCTGGAAAGATTCACCTGGAAGCCTAAGGAATGGGATTGGAGTTCCCTGCCAGGCCTGGAGACAAGAAAGGAGCCCTGCAGCCTGGGGGTGGACCTTAGGGGGTGAGCACAGCCTGGGAATGTCAGCTGAAAGGAGAGGGTGGGACAAGGGAAGGGCAGAAGCGAATCTTCTTCTTAGATCTGGAGGAGGGAGGAGCAGGCCTAGAGGCCTCTAGGAAGAAGCCTCAGAGCTAAGGCTGCAGGGAGGATGGGGCTAATCCACAGCATATGGACAAGGAAGAGGGACCCAGTAAGCTGGAGAGTTGATTGGACTTTTGCTGCCTGTCTAGTGTTAGAATTATGTTCACAGGGGCTGGGGAGATGCCTCCAGAAAAGTGTTTGCTGCTTAAGGATGAGGCCCTGAGTTCGGATCTCCAGAACCCACATAAAAACTGGGTATGGTGGTCTCTAACCCTGGTACTGGGGGTTGGGGGTCAGAAGGGAAAGGATATGGAGACAGGTAGGTTGCTGGAGGTCTCTTGTTAATCAGCCTACCACTCAGGTTTAGCAAGAGACTCTGTCTCAAAACATAGGGTGGAGAGTGTCTGAGGAAGATGCTGGGTATCAACTTCTGGTCTTTACATACGTGCACATACATGTATACATGTATGCACATCAGCACACATACAAGACGTATTGTGTAATCTCACTGTATTTATTAACATAGGAATTGTTGTTCCCACTTTAAAGCTATGGAAATTAACTAGGAGAGAGGAAGCATGTCTACCACCATTCAGCCAGCTAACATCTGAGCAGAGGTCTCTCTGCCCATCCGGTCCTCTCTACTACTGTGTATTCAGAGGGAAGGGGGCTTGTCCTATCCACAGCTGGTCCTGTGAACTCTAAAAGTGACCCGAGGGATCATCTTGAGGCAACAGGAGGGATGGAGTAGAATTTCCTTTGCTGTGGATGTTGAACTTTCCCCCTATATCCCCCCTACACACACACACACACTCGGCCCCAGGGCGGGAGGGTGGCTGTAATGGGGACTTGCAATCACCAGCTCTCTGTGAACCTTGGCTGTCTTTCTTGAGGTGGTTAAGCCCTGGGTGACCCTTCTTGGCTAGAACATAGGGAAGTCCTGTGGCTTTGGCAGGAGTGTTCCTGGGTTGCTGCTGGGCGTGGCGGTGAGCCTGGCCCAGTGTCCCTGATTCCCAGCTGGCCTCCGGGCTGCAGACTCCTTTGATGGCTCATTCATTTCCTTTCAAGTCTGGACCTCCTGGCCGGAGACCGAAACCTCTAGTTGGCATGGGGTCAGGGGTCCTTGGTTGTGAGCTTGCCTCATCCAGGGCCTTCCCTTCACATGGGCTGTGGAGGCTGAAGACAGCAACAGGGAGATTCACAGTGGCCTCTTGACCTCCACTAGGTTATCTGTTCTACTGCTTGCTGGGGTGGATGGCAGGGGAGCCAGGAGTGGGCTGAGGAAGATGAGGGAGGTTTTGGCAGGTTCCTCTGGACCTCAGGCTAGGGACAGAGGGGCAGGTGGGGACTTGACAGTCTTCTGAGTGGACCTTGGAAGATATAGATGACCTTGGTGTTGGGAGAAGATGACAGGGACTGCAGAGTCTCCTTGGAGAGCACGGTGTGTGGGGTGGAGAGAAGCAGCAGACAGCTGAGGACATCTGGGACTGGAGTTTCAGAAGCAGGGAAGAGTGGCAAAGCCTAGGGGCGGGTCTACAGCAAGATCCCCACATGTAGCCTGGTGGTGGACGGGAGTCTGGGGGTTTGGTGGAGCGGTGAGGGTGCAGCCAAACACAGTAGGTGGAGGAGAAAGGGGTAGCCTCTGCTTTCCTGTGTGCCTTCTGGTCCTCTCCTCTGCAAAATGGCTCACAAAGCACTTGAAATCAGTGAGGGCTTCCTGAATCCAGGTCTTGTAGGATGGAAGAAACATTGTAGTAAGCTGGCCAGGGCAGGCATGCTCCTGGACTGAGGCTCCTCTGACTCTGGGATCTGGTGACCCTGAGCTGGGTACTGGATCTCAAGGAGGGCCTAGGTGGCAGGAGGGTGCCCTAGACAGAAAGACGAGCCCATGCCAAGGTACTGACACTAGCTTAGGTGTGGGACTATGAGGGCAAGGCTGAGAGGGTGGCCGTGCTGGCCCTAGGCGCTAAAGCAGCTGGATACCACGGCACAGTCTCAGTTGTACCCAGGGTGTGGGTTTTCTTCCCCATTGGTGAGCTCTTTTTGTTTCTGTCTAAATCTGCTTCTTGTCTGTGGGTCCACCAGACTTCAGATCTGG